ACTGGTATGCGTTTTTTTGTATAATTCAGGCTAAGGTCTTGTCTTGAAAATTTGCGAGTTCTTGGAGATCTATGACATCCATATTGTCTCTGGTCTAAACCCCACTGGCATTATATGATCTATATTTGTGAAAATTCCTATCGGAAATCAGCTATTTTATGATGTTCATGAAAGATTATTCATATTGAAGCGTTAATTGAAATCGCCGACCACTTTAGTCAAGTTGAAGGTATTTCAGGTCCGAGTTACTACTCGACGGAATGCCAACATTAACAAAAAAAATTGATTAAAATTTTAGATATACAGAACGTGGTGAGTCTAGATTCTAGAATGTGTAGAACAGCAACATGGTCCTGCTATTTGTGTATCAGGATTGAAGGAGTAGTAGAAATAAACAATTGGAGACAGAAAATAAATCTTGACACAGATTCCATAGAAAATACACTATTTTAATGTGATGCAGCATGGAAGGCGCAGTGACTTCGCGTGATTACTCGGAACACCGTAACCAATACTACCAATAACACAGTATTTTGGGTTAGTGTTATGTGTAGCGATAGTATTCGAAATTTCAAAAACGAGTTTCGTATCGAAATCACTGACAACTGGTTTCCTCATTTCAGAAAATGTATGTATGTCAATACGTAAGCTTGATTACCATAATCGGTACTCCCGAAGTATGTGAACCAAGATGGCGGGACACCGGGGCGTATTATGTGTACCTGGTTAGGATTAGACCATAATTTTATTCCAATTTTCCTTTTTTTAGTTCTATTTCGAGTTAAGGGACAAGCCAAGTGACTTCAGTATTATTTGTACCTGAAATTATGGCCTAACCCTAATCTGGTACCATGTACACACGGACCGGCAACTAAATATTGAAATGACTTGAACGTAAATGTTTTATGATAAATATATGTTGCAGCGAAAGTCTAGGTTGAAACAGATTGATACGATTAGCATAAAAACTAGTAGCCACGAAATGTCCCGGTTCTGTCATTGGGTACCTAGGACAAATATTATACAAAAGAATTGTAGGATCAATAATTTACTTCGAAGTCAGGTGTAATGAACAATTTTTTTAACTGTTGTACGGTGATATTTTGTTTTGCTACTTGTATTTTACTCATGTTAGATAGTTGTCAATACTAATATGTATGAGACCGAAATTTAGGAAGTTATGTTATCATTAATTTTGACCTCTGTGTCACGATCTCGTCGGACTGTTACTGACGTTATAGGTTTGGATGGGGTATGACTGTGTACATACCTAAGTCTTTATTATGTCGTAAAGAGAGGCGAAGTTGCCCAATAATACATGGAAATACCATCATTCCGCATGTCTTCTACGTTCAGTATTTATTCTCTTTTGCAGACGCTGGCAACATATACTCAAAAATGGATCATACACATTTCAAAATTCCAGATTTATTTTTTGGCGAGTTTCAATTATTCATTCAATATCGGTATTTACGCGGGAATATATTAGATCATTTATGATCTGCTAATGAAATGCAGATAAATGTCAATATAATTTTCAAGAATTTACAAGTTACGCAATGTGAATTATTTCGAAATGGTGCAAAACCCAATATTTCGCGTCGTAAAATGTTTGCACAAAGTCTGCTAGATACGATTTTTGGGTCGTTGAAAGTTGAAACATTCATAACAGCGGTGGCCAACCTGATTTTCGAATCATATACGTTACATACGTTATATGACTGATCAAACTAATTTACAATTTCCTCCAAGCGTGAGTATACCTCTTGGAGTATACCAGGGGGGCCAACCTGCTTTCGACCACGATCGACTAGAATAGTCAAAATAGCTCGCGATCGACTGATCGGAACGCTAGGCTCCGTGGGCGCATTCCTAATGACATCGCCACAAAATTATGTATTTTTTATATTCTATTTGATTTGATTGTGTAATTGTACCCGGAGAAAGTGTTTCATCATTTATTTAAAAGATTTATTTGAATAACATATTTAAGATCTACGGTCTGCCTACATTTTAGTCGTATAGGTGTTATTGGGGGGGCTAAAGGGATCGGTCGCCCCCCGCAATAATTTCGCAAAAAAATATAACACATGTTGTTTCCGCCTTACAAAATTATCATTACCGAAAAGTGCGATAGTCGAGCGCGATTGAACGGTTAATAGTTACCGATATTATAACTGTTTTCTTACAATAATGTAGACCAGAGTGCCTTCGAAGCACCTCACATTTTTGTGAAACATGCGCGCCCGCAGGGGTAATACTCCGTCTCCAAACGCACCGCCGATCACGCGCCAAGGTTTTGCACAACTAATTCATTTTTGTACAATTTAATATGGTTTTCTTATTGTATAAATCGTTCAATAGTGTTATTGTTGGCACTTGCTAGAGAAGTGAAAGAGGCAAACTGTATTTCATTACAACAATTAATTATTATCGCCAAAACATTGAACAGATTTAAAGTTGTTTTAAACAATTTTCACCGCTGGACGTATCTTTTCACGTTATGGATTTCGTGCAAGGCCCAGCATAATTTGCGGGCAAAGATCAAAGCATTTAAATTTTTTTGAGAACTGGAAAAGTCGCCAATAACGCGTGCAATCGCCTTTTGCTAAAATCGCCGATTGTTTTCATCATTGTGACCTGTTATTTAGGCCGTAAACGCCATTACGTTGGCGTTTATTCTCTCTAAGTCACAAATTTTTCACAAATTTGTGACACGACTATGATAATTATTTTATTTTTGTACTAGCACGGAATTATGAATCCGCCCCGACGAGAATTCTTATAAGTTCATCGGCGGTGAGATTCCAAAGACAAATGAAGGAGTATAATCCGCGACTTATATTTTTTGATTGAAAAGCGGAAATATAAAATACTAAAAATAAAACCGTAAACAAATAAGTTTTGTTGAGACCCGCAACAGTCTAAAAACGCTTTTCTAGGCATCGAAAATCGCAAAAATTTTGTGTGCCTACAGCATACAATACGTTTCGTTGGGATTTAATTAAAAACAATTTGTCACCAAAATCGAAACACTGTTAATTGTGGGGGTTTGTGATGATATATAAGATAATTAAAGTGTATTCGATCAATTTTTATTGTACTGAAATAAATTTTACAGATAATTTACGTATTTTTCGAGAGGTTTTATCTTTGAAAATAATCGGAGTGGCAACATTGCGATTGAGCGGTGTCAGTATTACAAGTACATCTCAAATTTATCGAATTCGCAAATAGCAAAAATACGAATCAAAACAATATATAAATGGGCAGTATACCACACATTTTTATGTCCGCGGATTGCCGTGGTGTTTTAGAGTGGCTCTAGTTTTGTCGACGCAACCGCAGTTTAAATTGAAGACAATTAAATTAATAAATCAAGACATTTTAAATATGTCCGTATGGGTCTTTGTATTAGCGCGTTTTGCCGTTGTTTTGAGCAGTTAAGCGTGTTAGAGTAGTAGACGATAATACAGATGTTTAAAAGTGTCAGGCTTTGGTTTCATCACAAAAGTGAGGATATTTTCACAAAGCTGTAAAGCAGTTCCTTGACATAATTTTGTTAGGTGTAAACCTGTTTTTTTGTCTGTCAGTACATAGCTAATCTTGACATCCTGATTAGGCCCACGATGATAATCCAGCTCAGGCTCGGACATCTCTGGAAACTTTATTTTCGTTTGGCGTGGAGTGTAAATTTCAGGTGCAAATACTACGGGAGTCAGTCTCCGAATTCGTAATAAAATTAAAACAAGGAAAATTGGAATAAAATAACAGACTAACCCTAACCTGATCATTCCGATTGCTTTGACTG